ATTCCAGGGTCCCAGAGATTCTTGTGCTAGAGAGGTTTAAGAGGATATGGATCACGTCATTTGCTTTTCCATTTATTTGCAACTAAAAAGGTACTTTTTAGTCTCACGAAAAAGGTGCTTTTTAGAATTTCCATTATTTTGAATTAGGAGTAGCAATCCTAGGGGGTGTTTTAGATTAGAACCTTAGATGAGGGAAAAAAAATGACATTTTGATATCAAAATTATCAAAATATACAAATTTTTTTTGAGAAATAAATTATCAAAATATACAATTAAATTAGAAGATAAGGGGCACTTGCAATATTAGCAGTGATGGAAGTGCAGCAACGATCCTGATTTTTTTGTAAGCTATAGCTGGAATATTATTGTTATTATTTCTTCCTATCCCTCAATTTCCCACTGTTCTATATATATATATAAAAGTTGAGTGAGATATGGAGTAGATCTCATTCTAACCTCATCATTCATATAGTTAAAATTAAATATCTTAGCACTTTTAATTTTAATGATATGATGTTTTAATTTTTGTTTTTGTTCATATATATTATTGTTTCAAATGTAATGTAATGAATTATTAATATTTAATTGTTCAAAGCTATTATTATTTATAAGAGAATAATACATATTAGTCTCAATTCTAAAAAAATTAAAGTTTTAATTTACATTTAAAAAAAAATCTAAATTTAAAATTCAAAAATTCACTCTATTAAATACTAATACTTAGATTTAAAAATTAATTAATTATTTAATATAATCAGTTTTTAAATTTAAATATCAACATTTAACGAGATTAATTTTTAAATTTTGAATTAAATTTTAATTTAATAAAATGACATCGTTTAAAATTGAGATTTTAATTTATTTTATGAGTTAAGATATATATACATTTTATCCTATTTATAAACTAAATAAGATTAAATCGTTAACAGCAAAATTCAAACTTCTTCACCAAATGAGCCCTTATATCAACTTTGTAAGAAAATATGACACAATTAAAAGTATTTAGTCTATAATTATCTAAGTAGTTTAATGATAATTTTATATTTCAGTGAAGTAAAACATACAAATAATATAAATCAAAAGATAAAAGAGTTCTCTAAATGTGCAACTCAAATTTAAAATGAAGTTAAGATCATTGCTGGGTATACCAATTACAAACATAGGACTGGCCGGCTAAGAAATAGCCAATTACAAATCTTTGGGTCTCCTCTCAACTTCAGTTATTCCACATAATAAGTAGTATTATTCAATAAATAGTCTTCTTGATTTCAAAGGTCTAATTAGTCCTACTAAAAATATTGATTTAAGTAATGGAGAGGAGAGTAGAGAAGAAAAGTACCCAAATGTCAATTAATCTAAATAATTTAATAGTAATTTTTTTGGTAAAAATAAGAGATCATGAGTTTAAATTATTTGATATGTAAAAGAAGTGAGTTAAAAAATAATAGAAGGTTAAAAAAAAAACCACTAAAGAAAATAAAAAAATAATTACATTTTTTTTTTTTGCACAGCAAAAGGAATTTATTAAGTAAAATAAAGGGAGTACAAGGGGTACTCCAACCTATTACACTACAAACCAATACATAGCAAAATAGGGAGGAAAAGCATGAGGCCAATACTTGATCCATTAGCTAAGTACAGTAGATAAGGATCACCTTAAGGCTGTCATGGATCCACCCCTAACCCCCATCCTGCAGCACTATTAGTTTTTTCCCCTTTTATCTTTCAAGCATTCCATAGGTTCCAACATCCAATTGCATAGATTAAAAGAGTATCCTATTGTTTTGTTTTTGATCCATTGGAATGTCCGCAGTTGCACCAGCTCAAAAATCCTATTGACATCCTGCTCATGGTTTCTGAAAGCCTTTTCGTTTCTAGCAATCCATATAGACCAGATTGTGCACACCAAACTGCATCCCAACCTGCCTTGATGTTTACATTTTTAAAGGAGGCTAATTGTTGTTCAAAAGACGCATAGCAATCATCAGCTCTAACCGATGAAATTCTCCACCATTGGAGAGATTTGGACCACACTGAATATGCAAACTTGCAATGAAGAAATAGATGATTTATATCTTCAATACTCTCATTGCATAACATGCATGTAGCTAGATTGAGATCTGGAACAATACCTTTCTTGAACAGATTTACCTTGGAGGGTATTCTATTTTGTAGGAGTTTCCAAACAAAGGCACATATTTTTGTGGGGACAAGCCTGCACCAAATCCTTTTATGCAAGTTGTTCCTACTCTGCTGATGGTTGCTGGAAAGAGCTTGATATCCCGATTTAGTTGAATAAATACCATGATCATGCCTCCACTCCCATCGATCTTTTTGTCCCTTAATTGGTTGGATAGTCTGCAACATCCTCCACAGCTCCGCCATCGAGTTTTCCTCCCAGGAGAAGATAGGTCTCCTCCATTCTAATGTCCAATTCCAGCTTCCATTGCTCCAGAATCCCATTTGAGAAATGCTCTTTGTTCTGCCTAAAGAATTCAAAAAGAGTTTGGGAAATTTATTAGCTAGTGACTCGTCCCCAATCCAGACATCCTCCCAAAACTTGACAGAATTACCCTCTCCCAACTTTAGTTTAAAGCCATCTAAGAGCCAGCCAACTCTACTTGTGCACAAATAATCTAATCTACACACATCCCTCCACCATAAGGACCCATTCTAGTTCCCCTCTTCAATCCAATTCAACCAATTACCTCCACTACTACCATATTTCTCACGAATAACCCTATATAGAAGACCTTCCTCTCCCTTCGCTAGTCTACTCCACCACTTGCCTAACAACGCTAAATTAAACTTTCTAAGGTCCTTCACACCTAGCCCACCATCCAATTTACTTCTACACACATATTCCCAGCAAACCCAATTGATCTTCTATTATTCTCTCCACCCCCCCAAAGAAAACTTCTACATATTTTATAAAAAAATAATTACATAAAACACGAAGTATGATAACTGCAAGGCAATGTTAGGTTCTTTTTGTATTTTTATGATGATTTAAAACCATGATTCAAAAGAGTTTAATCTATTTTTGTGCTAAGTGTATAGGAAAGTTAATTTAAGGATTCTAATATTTCCCCACGATTAGAGTTCTGGGTTTGAACCAATTATATTTGATTCGAACCAATCCTGAAGTTTTTTTTCCGAAAATGTTTCGAACCAATATTTCTGGCTTTGAAGCAAAAATTCTGAAAGGTTAAATTTTGACAGCTCAACTATCTGTTTATTCTTAATGGGTCATAGGGGATCCAAATGTCTAAGCACTTTCCAAGACAAGTTAGAAGAATAAGGTGGAACCTAATTGGGGCAATTTTGAGGTGGCTTTGAAGGGCTAAATGTGCTTTAATTGCAAGGCTCCCAACCAACTATTAAAAGGACATCAAAAATAAGATCTGCATAAACATAGAAGAATGAACTGCTCCAATGATATAGAAAAATAGAGTTTGCTTTTGAAACTGTTCTGGATCTTCTTCTTTTTCTTCTTGTGTGCTTTTGGGTGAATTGTTTTACAAGGGTTTTGTATTCTTCTTGGATTGAGATAATCCTTGAAGGGGTTGAGTGAGTTGAGATTCACTTATGAGGGTTTAATCTTGCACCCGCAAGCAAGAGTTTGTTTCGGTTTAATCTTGCACCCGTAAGCAAGAGATTTCTAGTGGATTGAACTCTCGAGCAAGGAGGCTTGGGGAATGGACGTATTCCGAGTTGGAGGAACCACTATAAATGACTGCTTGATATTCTCTTCACTTTCTTTTTATTTTTCTGCATTTTATTTGCAAGATTGCAATTGATCTTTGTTTTATTTTGCACAACAGATTATATATATTGAAAACTTTGTCATAACCCAATTTTAATAAGGGCCAAGTGAGAAAAGTAAAAGTTCATGGACCATTTCGCAAAAAGTGTAAAGCTTGAAGGGCTGAGATGAAGAACTAGCAAAACGACGTCGTTTTG